ACGTCCCCCAAGAACAAGCAGAGAATCTACATGAAATGCGAAGTCAGCTGCCTGACGGAGTTGGTGCGCCCCAAGGCGGTATGGACTTGAGGGTCAAGATTCTAGGCAAAGGGCAGCGACAGAGACGGGGGCGCACCACTCGGCACCTTTCCCCTTCGGGCACCTCCAGGTCCCAGGAAGACGAGGCGCAGGATGTTGAGAAGCCAAAAGGCGGGAGGCGAGAAAAGCCACTTCGAAGGCAGAGGTAGCAGTGGCGGTTTCCACTGAGCGGGTTTACAGTCACACGTGTGAAGAGGTTAAAAGTGTAGGGAGATCAGCCCTGACACCTGATGAGCCATCTCGTACTGGCGGCTCCTTGAAGATCCATGGATTCTACAGCCTTTTGGCGTTTGCTCTTGACCGTGTCTGAGAACAGACCTGCTTCCTCTGCAGCAGGTGCAGCCAAGCTTTTCAGTCCCACATTTCCTCATGGAACAGCTGCGCTGGGCCTGGCCCCTGTGGCTCCGTTGGCTGGAGCATCGTCCTCTCCGTCTCTACAGGTGCCCAAGGGAACTTCAGAATTGAGTTCCAAGCCGCTCAGGCAAGACCATCACCTGGTATCTGGGTCGTTTGCAAACATTTTAGCGGTCAGGGCTGGGTTCCCTTCTCATGCCTGCCCTTCTCTCCCTCCTAGACCTTCTGGAGGGACGTTGGCATCATGGAAGCCCAGAGGGAGCAGATACCATGGCTCCTGCCCCAGCAGAGTTTACCCGGCATCCACTGCTGCTCAGCAGATGAAGCTGCCCACAACCCAGACGGAGGCAGGAAGCAGCTGTGCCTCAGGCGACCTGAGTGAGACAGGGAAAGCCTCGTGAGGCAGGTAACCAGCTGGGGCCTGACAGGCAGTGGCAGGTAGGCGAGGGGATGGGCTACAGTTAGGGGTGGGCTTGGCACGCATGGATGGGTCCTGTGGACGCAAGAGAGCCTAGATTAAGGGTGGGGAACCTTTCCTTCTGCCAAGGGCCATTTGGATACTTAGAACATCACTCATGGGCCATACAAAATTATCAACTTTAAATTTGCCGGTAACTTTGATCAAACATTTAATTAATTCGCCCCTAATGCCTTGACAGGGCCAGAGCAAATGATTTCTTGGGCCTTATAGAGCCTGCGGGCCGGACGTTCCCCACCCCTGGCTGAACCTGTTTCATCACCTTCACTCTGACCAGGTATTAATCATTACCAACTCGATTCCTGGAATGTGGTTGGTTATTTGCACCATAGCACTAATGGGAAAGGAGAGGGGGAAGAAATGCTGTATAACAGTGACTTTTGAAGAGCCAAAAGTTTTAAATTTTGATGATATATTTTCTTCTATAGTTCCTACTTTTTTGCCATGTGTAAGAAATCTGTACCAAACATAAAGAAACTACGTTTTGTCCTGTTTTCTTCTAGGAGTTTTATATTTTTAGATTTTACATTGAGTCCTATGATACATCATGAGTTAAATCTGATATACTCTTGGTGCTGGAGGTTTTTTAATATATCCAGTTGTTCCAACACAATCTGTTGAAAGGTATCCTTCCCTCACTGGAGCTTACCCACCTTTGTGGAAAGCCAAGTCACCATGTATATAGACATAGTTCTGTTTCTGCACTCTACAGTTCCTTACATCTATTTGTTCATCTTACATCAATACCATACTGTCCTGACTACTGTAGCTTTGTGATATGTTTTGAAATTATGCAGTATTGTCCCTCCAAATTTGTTCTCATTTTTCAAAATTGTTTTGGTTATTGTAGGTCCTTTGCAGTTAAATATGAATTTTGAAACCAGATTTTTCATAAATTTACCAAAATAAAACAAGCCTATTTGGACTTTGGTTGAGATTGCATTGCATTAAATCCCTAAATCAATTTGCAGGTAACTGACATCTTAAGAATATTGTTTCCTATCCATGAACACTATGTGTATTCCTTGTAGGTCTTCATGAATTTCTCTCAGCAATATTTTATAAGTTTTACTGTAGATGTCTTTCATGTCTTTTATTAAGTTTATTCCTAAGATCTTGATAATTGTAGACATTATTGTACATTGCACTTTCTTAATTTCAATTTCTGATTGTTCAAGAATATAGAAATATAATTGATTTTTGTATATTTATCTTATATCCTGCAACCATGCTAAACTCACTTAACCCTCTGGTAGACACTCTCAGATTTTGTACAAGTCATCTCTGAAAATAGTTTTACACTTGATCTTAGCCAAAAGGCCGAGAAGCGATTCTTCATTTATGGTGCTTTTTCCTTTTTGCTCCACTGCACTGGCTAGAACCTCCTACAAAATGTTCAGAAGCAATGGCACTGGTCATCCTTGCACTCAGCTTGTTGGGAGGAATGCATCCATTCACCATGATATTTGGTAGAGGATTTTTTTAAATGAGCTTTAACAAACCAAAGAAATTCCCTTTAAATTATAATTTTCCTAGAGTTTTTATCATGAATTAGTGAATTGTCAAACCCATGTTCAGCATCTGTTAATCACGTGGTTTTCCTCATGTATTAATATGGTAAATTGTATTAGTTGACTTTCAAATGCCCAATCCATATTATTGAGATAAACTGATTTGATTAAGATGTATTATCCCTTATAATGTAGATTCACATTGGATTTGACTTGCTAGAAATTTGTTTGAAATTGTTATGTTGATGTTCATGAAGAATAATTGTCTGGTTTAGGGATCCCAACAATGTTGGTTGACCTCATAGATGGAGTGGAAAGTATTCTTTTCTCTTCAATTTCCTGGGAGAGGTAGTGTAGAATGGTATTATTTCTTCCTTGAATAAATGGTAACATTTACCACAAAAATGATTTAGCCTAGAGCAGTGGTGGGCAAACTGCAATTCGAGAGCCACATGTGGCTCTTTGGCCCCTTGAGTGTGGCTCTTCCACAAAATACCACGTGCGGGCGCACATGTACAGTGCGATTGAAACTTCG